TAATAGATCATGTTTATGCAGTTGTAATTTATCGTTAATTCAGCATTCGCACTGCCAGACCTAATTCGTGCCTGTTTTCACCTTCCAGACAAAGCCAGGGCCCATCAAGGATTGCAGTTCCCACTCGAAGCACTCCACGTCCGTGTACTGCTACAACTGCTCCCGCAGAGGACACTTTGGATACGTGAGTCTTGTTGGTCCCTGCCTTGAGGAGCAGCCCTGGGGTGCAAATCCAGCCCTGCCACAGTGTGCAGCTGGAGGAAAGGGCTGGAGCCACACAGAGATGTGTGGTTGTTGGAGGCCAAAGCATGAGGTGATCTTGCCCATCTAATTTAAAGACGGGAAGGAGAAGAGAAGTTTCTATCTGTCCTTGGCAGGTTTATTGATTTGAGACTGCATGGGAGAGGGAATACCCATTGGAAAACAGGCAGTTGTTGAATGCAGCTGTTTTCCCTCTCTCTTCTCCTGTTAGTGCCTCCCTGCCAGGCTCAGCATCATGTCAGGTTTGTCACCACAGTCAGCCCAACCATGAGAATGCTGTTTTGGGAACTTGCCCTTCCTGCCTGTGGTTACCCTGGGTTGTAGTTTCTCAGTTTAACACCTGACGTAAGTCTGGAATCATCCAGGGGAAGTAGGTGTCCTGAGCCTTGAGTGGCTTCAGGAAGAGTAGGAGATGTGCTGCATCTTCCAGGGCTTTTTGCTGGTATTTGTCACCTTTTCCAGCCCCCGTCATGACAAGTCCAGCTCTGTACCCCTAAGTACCAACACCAAACAGATGTTAGGTGTTTTTCTGTGATGGAATCAGTGCAGGAGCCACAAGTATGCTGGAAAACTAAGGTTACTGATGCATTGGGTGGGTTTAGTTTACAGTTTCCTATGGATTAGGTGCAGCAAATTGCCAGCACATTCCTCCCTTCCACCTGCTCCTCTGTGTCAGCCCCTGCAGCTACACAGTGTCCTTTGTTACCAGCTGGAGCCTTTAGTTTAGTGCAGCTTCCCTAAACCATCTGAAAGTGGCACGGGAGGAAGGGAACCACACATGGGTACAAGTGAGGCTGCTGCAGAAATAATTAGCAATTGTTAGGGGTGCTGTAAGTTAATTATTAAAGTAATTATTAAGGCTGCTGCAAAAATAATTGGAAATTATGTGGGAGGAGCTGATAGCAATTACTTGGGTAGAAAATGGTAGAAACTGTATAAAATCAGCAAGGACATTGCATGTCTCTCAGAGTTAAGGAAGATAAGGAACTGTTTTTATTAGTGTACAAGGGGCAGAAACAGCCTGAGCAGTGACTGAGTGAAAGGGGATGAGCCAACAGCAACGCAAGAGGGCAGACTCCAGATCTCTCATGTGCACACCATTCCCAACAACAGAGGCAAAAACCTGGCAAAAAAAACTTGATTCTTCACTGAAGCAAAGGCCAAACAGCAGCTGAAAAAAACTAAAACCATCTGAAGTGCCTCTCTGGTGTGCTGTGCCTCTGGAGGAGAGAAGGGAGCAGGCAGGAGGACATGGCAGGAAGGGCCCTGGGGTGGCACTGAGGAGCAGCAGCAGCACACGTAAGAGGGAACACTGCTGGTCCTGTGCTGCAGACATCAGCTGGACCAAAGCTCCTGGCAGCTCCTGAGGCCCAGAGCTCTCTAGGATGGCTTCAGGCTGAAGGAGAGTAGAGTCGGGTTGGATGTCAGGAAAGAACCTTTCCCTGTGAAGGTGCTGAGGCACAGGGTGCCCAGGGAACCTATGGCTGCTCCATCCCTGGGAGTGTTCCAGGCCAGGCTGCATGGGGCTTGGAGCCACCTGGGCTGGTGGGAGGTGTCCCTGTCGATGGCAGGGGTGGAACTGGATGGACTGTCAGGTCCTTCCAACCCAAACTAATCTGGTATTCTGTGATTCTATTACGTGGGCAGTATCCAAGAAGAGAAAGATGATGTATCAGAGCACAACAGGTAACAAGCAGTGTACAAGGAGGAGAAAGCTCCTGTCAGTGTCACATGTTCCCTGGACAAAGGCAGAACTGTGGGCAGTGTCAGCCTGGCTCATCAGGCATGGCTCAAACTGTGTGTGCAGATCTCATTTTTCATCCAGGGGTTTGGGAAATCAGCTGACACATGTGGTGCCAGAGCTAGTCCCTTCCTCATCTGAGCTGACAGCAGCTGGGGCAGCGGGAGCAGCAGGACAGGCATCAGGGTCCTGCCCAGTCCACTCTGTCCCTGTGTCCAACAGCTCTGTCAGCAGCTCACCCATGTGCACCTGTCCTCAGGGGCTCTCCATCCCATTCTGTGGATCGTACAGGTGTGTGGAAGCTCAGGAAGGCAGAGGATTCCTTCCATGTGCCAACACAGCACAGCATTGGGTGTTCAGGAGGGATCATGGGCTGGTAGTGACAGTGTCAGCAGTTGTAGGGCTGCTGGGCACATCCCTCACAGGTGCAGACCAGCAGCACCCAGATTCCCTCCCAGGAGAAACACAACTCAGCCCTCCAGCAACCTGAACTGTCTTGCAGGAGTGCTCGGAGAAGCGGATGCAGGGGAACATGTTCCCCACTTCTCCCTTCATCTACTGCTATGACAACGAATATGACATCAAGAGGAGAGAGAACAGGTTAAAAAGGAAGGTGGCAGGTATGTGTTCTGGGGGCTTCTCCTGCCTTCCAGCTCTGTGCTCACTGCTCTTGGGGACAGCATGGGATGGCTGTGTTGTGCTGGAAAGGGCTGCAGGGATTTGACAAGGTAGTCTGGTGGTGGCCAAAGATTTGTGCCTTTACTCATCCATGTCCATCATGGACCCTGATTGTGTCAAAGTCAATCATGTGCATTGTCAGAAGTTTTAATTCTGAAAACTCCACTGGCATTAAAAGTGCCTTAAAACAGCAGGAAGGGGAGTAAACCCTTTGTAAAGATTCTGGCAGGAAAAAACCCACAGTAAAGAAATCTGTCAGAGATGAATCTTTTTCTGACTTCATACACACCTGAGGAAAGCTGTGATTGCTTTGCCATCTCTGCCTCAGGGTACATCCCTGGGGTGGAATTCCATCCCTGCAGCCCTGGGCACCAGGTGATAGGTGTTCGCTCTGATTCATTAAGATTCTGGCCTGTTGGCAGGAAAAAACCCACAGTAAAGAAATCTGTCAGAGATAGTTCTTGTCTGATGTCACACACACCCAAGGAAAGCTGTGATGGCTTTGTCAGCTCTAGATGTTGTCTTGGGGTACATCCTTGGGGTGGAAATCCTTCCCTGCAGCCCTGGACACCAGGTCATAGGTGTTCTAGATACTAAAACGACCTGCTGTGCTTTGCAGACCTGCAGGAAGCTGGTCTCCTGCCCAAGTGGCCGGAGGCACCGTGGCAGGAGGAACAGCTGGAGGAGCACAGCCACAGGAAGCGAAGCAAACATGGGAAGGAGCTGCGCAGGAGGCACAGCAGGGATGGCGAGCAGCACAAGAGGACGAAGGTGTCCCGGGGGGAGAGGCCCCGGGGGGAGAAGCATAGGAAAGGTGCTGAGCTCTACCACAGCCCCGAGGAGGACTTCCCCCGGGGGTGTGGGCGCCAGGAGTTCAAGGCCAGCAGGGTCCATCACAAGTCGCTGTTCCAGGCATTCTCGGTCAGCAAGACCACATGTGTGCAAGAGCCTCTGGAAGGGG